GCCGTCTTTTTTTGCAGCTTTTGCCGCTAACGAAGCTCAATTCGAGCGCCAAATTGAAATTGATTGTGACATTTGATCATGCGTTTGCCTTTCTGCCTCGTTCTTGGTCTCGAGAAAGAGATGGCAACAGGGCGAGGGGAAAGAGACGGCTTGCTGTCTTTGGAATTTGTGCGGAAAATTGCTAAAACGGTAGGCGCGCAGGTGTGCTTCGTTTTCACCTCTTCCCCCCATTTTCCTTTTTTTTTTGCTTCAGCTTTTCTTGGCGGATACGCACTGGATTAATTGGACGGATGTGCATTGGGTTGATGAGTTGAGCCGAGACAACTGGAGAAAACTGTGGAGCTGAAGGCTCAAATGCAAGCTGGTAGGCCTCTTCTGTCAGGGATTAAGATGAGTTTTGTTTTAAGACGCCAGAGGAAAAAAGTTTAAATTGCTTCGGTGTTGGGTGCAATGAAAAATGATTGGATGTTTAGTTGAAAAGTGGGTTGAAGGATATTGTAACCCGAGGGGATTATCAAAAGTGGTTAGATATGACATCGGCAAAGTTATTAGAAAGATTACTCTCACTATTTAAACAACAAATTAAAATAATAAATGCCAATTCTGGCTCATACAATTTTTATAGTGTTTAATTTTTTTCATCAGTATAATAGATGGAAAAATCGTCTTAAATCGTCCACCTCTAATGTTAAATGAATAAACCTATGAAATTACCAATACCTTTGAAATCATTTTTTATTTATTTTTTTATCTTTTTATGTGGTTTTTATTTATCTTAACTATGTTTTTATATATTATATATATTGTCAAGTACCTTTAAGTTTCTTTGATCACAGAGTCGCTATTTGTTGTCCCCTGTTTAGGAGCTCTGATCTTCCTTTTACAGTGACTAAAAATATCTTTTTGTTATAAAAAACAAGCTTAGGTAATTTTTTGGGCATGTTTGCCCAAATATATACATATATTGTAGACCAATCGCTATTATTAATAAAATTAAGGAATTTATTTTTTCTGGATGTCTTATTTTTGTTTTTGTTCAATAAGTTATTGATCTGCAAAGCGTTGTTTTAGATATATTTTCTAGATCCCGCAAGTCTTTATTCACAAATTACATGACTCACCTGAACTGCTTATCCGGTTCTAAGAACTATGAATATGCAACGGCACTTATGTCTTTGGGCCTAACCCTGCGCCAAAGCTCATCTGGAGAGCATTTTACTAGCACAGCTCGAAAGGGGTAAATCCCCACATGAATAATTACAGCGCACGCAGTTCATTTAATTTCACTTGTGGGGGTGGAAAACCCTTTAGCCAGCGAAATGCGCGAGGCACATGAATGAAAATATTTAATGAAGAAATTTATAACAAACTTTTGCAAATGGCAGCAGACTGCCAAAAATGGCTGTAGATGAAGAAAGTGCCAGGGCGGTAAAAAATTATGAACATTAAATGGAAATTAAGCTAATCAATTAGGTCCAAATTGTGCTTAAGATTGGCAACGCTTTTGTAAGTGCACCGAAAATATTATTTTTAAATTTTTATATAAATAGGAAACACGCTTTTGATTAATCTAATGAAATATATTTTTGTTTACAATAGTTGTTTTAATTATATTATATATATATATATATATATATATATATATATATATATATATATATATATATATATATATATATATTATATTATATTATATATATTATATTCATACGTTTTTTGAAAGTTCTTACATTTAAAAATATTTATAAATATTGAATATTAAATCAATTCTAGGCTTTTTCAAAGTTATTAAATTTATAAAATGCCCACTCCAAATTTAATTCTACAATTTTTTTAAGCTATAAAAAAAACAAAAAAATATAAGAACTTTCCAGTTTTTTTTTATTTTTACAATTTAACGAATATTTTTAAATTAATTTAAAAATTTTACATGTATCCTTAATATTACTTTTTGAAGTCTTACATATATTTCACTGTGCAAATAAGTTTAAAGTACGCTCACTAGCGACTTCTGGTCCATTCGCTGCCTAACCCAATTAGCTGAAAGCAGGCAAATCCCTTCATTCCTCACTCTACCGCTGCTATAAATGACCCACATTTAAATTGTGATCAATTAAGTCTTCCCATTACCATACCCATCCCGTAAACCCTTTGAATCCCGTGCTGTGTAGTATCTGTTGCCATTGCATAGCTGAGTTAATGATTGGAAATTAATTTGTCAGCCAGGGGAATGGGCCAATGGGATTACGCAATTGCGTAGACAAATTGCTGGCAATTAGCAGGGAGTCCGAAGACGTCGACAAAGGCATTGTTCGTCAGGAGATTCCTGGCTGATTCCCATAGTTCAGCTTAGGAGGATGACTCGAGCTCAACTTAACGGCAATGGCAATCGATCTGTGTCAGGTGTGGAGTCGAGCTATTGATGTGAATTAAGTAGTTGATTAATTGACAGTTGGGAAACTCTGAAGGGAAATAGATGAAGTGTTATCACCCTATTAGGTCATAAGTCTAAGAGTGTATTGTTTTGTTTTAACCACGACAGTTTATTAAGGATTACAAGGGCTTATCTCAATAAAAATTTTAAAATATCCATAAAGGTATTTTTGTTTTGACCTTTAAAAGTAATGGAGGGTCTTCAAAAATGTACGTGATGAATTTTAAGTTTTCTTTTTAGTATTTATAATGTTGTATGGTATTTTGTATTTTTTATTTAAAAGATTTTTTAAAAGCTCTTCGACCAATTCCCCCAAAAGCTTATAACCATATTCCCACACATTTTATACATCCCACTAATTACGAAAACCCCTTTCTTGAAACTTCTGAAAATAACATCTTTTATGGTCGCCCTAAACGAACCGAGAAATTTCAGCCAAAACAATAAAAAGGCGTCACCACCAACGAGAACTTGCTGCCAACTTGAATGGCCCAATCAAATTAAGTACTAATCCTTGGGAAAAACCGCGAACAATTTAAAATGATTGTTAAGTAAATTTCCCAAAACAATTACGATGGTCTAGTGCACACTCAGAGAAAATCTGCGAGAGAGATTTAGTATAAAAGCGCAGGCGCGAAGAGAGGAGATTTGTTCTAGCATGCGATAAATTTGTAGCATGTCGGCAATAATGGATGATTAAGAACGAAGGACTGGCGCTTTACATATGTGTAAACTGTTAGCAGATGGCCATTGAACAAGACAAGACAACAATAATGAGTTGGCTTTTCTGGACAGGTAAGGGGAACAACTTTTTGAAGAAACTGAAGGAAGGATAATCCACTTAGGAGTGCCTTTAGCTATAGTGTGTGTGGGCGAAGTACTGGCGACAACAATGTTGCGCACACAACAAAAAAATATAAATTTCTTATTCTATTATATTATAGAACTTTAATTTAACTTAAAGTAAATGTAATTGATTACAACAGCAAAAATAAACACTTTCTTTTTGTAGAAATTTAGGTGTATTTAAAAATATAAATATTTCAAACATTATAAAAGTTTATCAATTTTAATTAAAACAATAATAGTTTTAAATTCAAAATAAATATCTTGACAATTGTAAGCTTAAAAAAGTATATTTTGAATTGTAATTTTAAATTCAAAATAATTTGTTAACTTAAATAAATATTTTACAAAATAAAAAAAAATTAGTAATTTTAGATATATAGAACAAATATATAGAAAGTTGTAAAAGTATTAATTATAAATATATCAGAAATCATAAATTATTTTTTTTTTTTATAAAACAATGCTGTTTAGCTATTAATAAATCTTTTTAACAAATTTAATGACAGTTTAAAAATAAATTTTAAATTCGTTTTCTCTGTGTATTCTTGGGACATGGGGAGAAATTGTTTTATTACCCGGGCGAAGCCGTTGAGTGTGTGTTGACTGAAAACAAAGGTGCGCACAATAAATTACATTGTTACACGGAAACTTACGACCAGGACACGGACTCACACTCGCATATCTGTGCATATGTGTATATAGAAGAGGTCCTGGCAGGAAGTCAGCAACAAGCGCGGCGTTAATGAAAAGGATTTCTCCGGCATCCACATGTCTGCCCTTAGTGCAGCCACCTAGCTTCCATCTTTTAACTGAACTGACTTTCCTCTTTGGGTTACTTAATATTTAAACTCCGGCCAGACGGGAGATTTTCTAAGCAGTGGGGTAGAATCCTATAGTCCTGTCTTTTGATGTCCTCGACCCATTAGTTGAGGTCTCAACTTTTGCATAAATAAACGCCTCAGTTCATTAGTGAGTCTCGCCCTCAGCACCTCCCGATTCTCAATTGCAAAAAGGGTTCCCTTTGGGGTTTTTGCGGTTCCCGGAGCCATCGGTTACTGCGGTTAGCTTTTGGGCACAGAATGCGTGAAAGTGTCATAAGCCAGGATAGAAGGGAAGATTTTATGACGGACCAGACCACAGTTACAGCTGGAAAATAGTTGGGCTGTTGTTTTGCGGCATCTGTTTAAAGTTTAATGATTTTTTAATCGATTTTGACGGAGTTCGTGGAGAAAAGCAAATGGAAAATGATAACTAAAATCATCCAAAAAATGCTTAATAATGTATATGTTAATTAAAGAGGTAGTTTTATAAATCCTACTCCCTTTGATTCTTTAATATTCCCCCTTATTTGTACCCAATATGAAAAATATAGATAAGGCTTAAGTTGTATAGTGGATAGTAAAACCAGATAACTTAATATACTGCTTAAGGCAGGGACTGTAATCATTATAAGCGATTAAAAACCAAAACTTAATTACTATTTTTTGTGCTAAAATTTGTTCTTCAAAAATATTGATTATAGTTTGAGTTTTATATTTTGAGCATAAAATTTCGCACAAAGTCGAATAGACAAAATGATTATACATTTTTTAATCAAATTAATAATTATTGTTAACGGTCCCTGAATACTAGATTATATTTTCCGTTAGCCAAAATGGACTCATTTCAGTTTAAAGCAAAGTCCCTGAATCCCAGCAGCTGATGTTTTCTCCATCGAAAACATTTAGTCGAAAGCCGTCCTTCAAAATTCAACAACCCCAATCCTCTTTCCCCCTTTCTATCCGAACTTTTCCGGATCCGGACTGCCCAAACAACCTTCCTCCGACTCGATCTATGGGTACGGTGGTCAGCGCCCTGCAGCGCCCCACCATCTTTGTGAGCATGGACAGTGTGCACGCGCAATTTGTGCGCGAGACGATCAGCAGCAACAAGGTGGTGATCTTCAGCAAGAGCTACTGCCCCTACTGCAGCATGGCCAAGGAGCAGTTCCGGAAGCTGAACGTCAAGGCGACGGTGGTCGAACTGGACCAGCGGGAGGATGGCAACGAGATCCAGGCGGTTCTTGGCGAGATGACGGGATCGAGGACCGTGCCCCGGTGCTTCATCGACGGCAAGTTCGTGGGCGGCGGCACCGATGTGAAGCGGCTCTACGAACAGGGCATCCTGCAAAAGTACTTCCAGTGAGACGCGTGTCGGCTCATGAAAATCCAATCACATTTTGTTGTTCTGGCACAACACAAAGATTTAAGTTGGTTTAAATGAATAAGTAGAGACAAGTTCGTTATTGAAATTAAAAGAACTATACAGGCACTCACAGCCATCGATTTCTGTTAGCTTTTTATTGTTCTGGTCACTTAAGAAGTTTAAAGTATTTAATTTGATATACAAATGATCTTTGTATTCATTGTTTAACATCTACATGGCTATTAACATGATCGCTGGTTCCGAAATAAGCCATGTTTAACCAAAAATTTCAAATACCTCTTTTGCTTTAAGTATGAGTACTTCAAGCTTAGTCCTAGCTTTACAATCTTATAAGCAAAAAAAAATTTAAAATTATTGTTTTAAAACCACTTAATATGAAATCAAAAAAAATTAATATTTAAAAGACCTTAAATGTGCCAGACCAGACCAATTTAATGCATTTTTTCATGTGTTGGCCTGTGCGACGAAATATAAAAGGTAAAAACAAAGGTAATGGAGACAAGAGGCGGATAAACAGAGATGCCTTTTATCTGCTCAATATGACGCTTAAGTTGTTCCTGAAAAGGATCACAACTGTCTGAGGGCGGGGAGAAAACAATTAAGAAGAGAGTCCTCGCAGGCTCAACTCAATGCTCTTTCCTTTCGACTGCAGTCGGCAGTCGTGTTTCATTGTTGTCCTCTATGTTGGGGCCTTTTCCCCACTTTTAACGAATTCCTACCCATTTGAATATGGAAAAATTGAAAGCAACGTCATGAGGTCAAGGCCCGCTGTGTTAAAGTTTTAAGACTCCATCGAACAATTCACAAAGGGCAAGCATGAGATCGTCCATACTTCATCGTATATGCTTTTCGTTACCTAGACAACTAGCTGGTGAATTTCGTACGAACGTAAGCTTAAATTGATTGGAATTTTCTCCAAATTGCTTGTAATTTGTTTGGCAAATTGTTTTCCTTGCATTCTGTTTTGTTTTCAAAAAATTTCTTTAACAACGTCGAGTTCAGTTAACTGTCACATACACGAAAATTTATCGTAATTCACCTGGGCAAAACGAATATAAAATGTCACGAAACACGTGTCGTAAGCGTAATTTGGCTCATCGATTGTTTTTTGAGTTAAATTTTCGCGTAGGCAGTAAAAGGATTGATTATAGAAAGTGTTGAATAATGTGATCCCCCCCTTGGATTGGTAAACAAGTTATTTGCAATTGTTATTGAATACTATTATATGTTATTTCTGCGAAATTTATTTTTTGATAAATTATTATTCCTTATTTTTCATATTGAGTGATTATTTTAGATATACTGATAATAATTATTTTAAAATAGTTCCATATTGATGTTTAATTTAAATTTTTAGAGTTAAGTGGTATTATAGTCCCCGCCCTAGAAAACTTTTATAATTTTTGATGTGTCTGACTTATCAAGCATTAAAACTTGTTATGGCTAGCAACACGAAGAATTTACAACTGCAATGGAATGGCAATTTTTTATGATCCCCACCGCTGGCCATAACTTTATTTTTTCGCTATATCTATCTGGATAGGGAACATAAGCTGAAGGGAGTAAAAAAAAGTGTTGCAGTGGCATATAACTTTGTTTTAATTTGTTGGAGGATGAATGCGATTGCCACCGACGGACTGTCAGAGTGGTAGTATTGAGCTGGCAATCGCTGACTAACTCAATAAAAAATGCATTTGGCATTTTGATTGCGAAATTATCTAGTCAGTGGGGCAACATTGTTGCCAGGCCTTAATTTCATTTGCCCAGACATTTTTAATGGTCGAACAATGTATATAGCACTCAATCTTTCAATTATCAGCGTGTTAAGTTGCGTAAAGCGAAAAACTCTCGCACAAAAAGAATTTATTAGAATTTTCTTTGCCCCGACGAGTTGCGGGCTTGAATAGTTTTTGTGACTCCACCCTTTCCACCCCCCGCCCTGATCCCCAAAATGTGGCAGCCAGACTCCTGTTAGACCATCCATATATCATATAGTTTCCACCAACTCTGTCTGCTCCACTGCATGTGCATGAAGGAGCGAGCTGCAGCGGGTCCTTCGCCTTTGATAGACGATTTATTAAGCGTTTTATTATTAGTTTTCTCGTTCGGTGGCTTTTGTGGCATTTTTGATTACAAATTCCAGGGCATCGGAGTCTTGTAATTACCAAAAACGACCGCAAAATGGGCGGTTATTCTATTATTGGAGATTCTTTTTGCGGCTGCTAAAGAGATAGATGGGAGTTTACAATGTTTGCGTTGGCCATTGGCTAACTATATAACGCTTATTACCTAGCAAATATACTTTAGCTTCGTTGAGCTAATATTAAACACCAATATTGCAGCCTTATTTTATATTTAATCTTATTTTTTATGGTTAATACTATAAAATTAAAGAGCTTGAAATTGCTTTATTATTAACATCGTTAAATTTCAAATGTCTTTTACATTTCTACAATCCATCTAATGACATCCCATCAGTCTTGAAATACTAGCCTCTCTGGAGTTTGAGACTACGGGTGAATACGTGTTAACATTTTTCAAAACGACACTTGCACGTAACATGTCATGCCAACATATAATTATATTATTGCTGTATTTCTTTGTTTTTACACATGCTATCCCATACTGTGACTTTGAGCCAGGTCCAAGTCTCAGTTTTGGCCATGGCCATGCAACTGAGATCTTTTCGCGCTGATAAACTTTGAGGGGTCACAGGAATACAGTTACACTGAGAAATATTTTTAGTTTTAACGATCAAGTATAATTATGATAATAGATATATAAATTTAAAAGAATATTTAATTATTCATCATAAAGTTTTCGCATTTACTTCAATCCATTACATTTGTAGGTGACTTGAAATCTCTACAGAATTTTGGAGAACACCTGTATATATTTTTAGAAGTGTACACTGCAACAGAAAAAGTAGTAGCAACAATGGGGAAGCAACGCACGTGTTAACAAGGATGCGATAAAAAATAGTAGAAGTGGAGCGAAGTGAGGAAATAAATGCCGGAATGACAGGAAATATGTGTGCGTGACATTGTTACTTGGGTCTGCCAACCGGAACCAAAAGTGGGTGGCTCCAATTGTCGCTATTTCACTGGCTGCGTTGTCAACGCGAAAGCAACAGGACATGTTTATATATAATTGTATAGAATATATACCACCTACTTGAAGGAATGTCAGACAGCATTGATGTAAAAATTTCACAAAGTTGGATTAAATGCCATGACAGGGAAAAGCTGTTGCATTTATGTAAGCATATATATGTAATACATAAAACAATGTTGATTTCTGCCAATTTAAAGATGACCATTAGAGCGAAATGTTTAAATGTTTTAATTCTTGCAAGTATAAATATTGCCTAATCCAAAAATACTGTTTCATGAAGCAATTTTCTTAACTTGAAAAATGACAAAAATAAAATAATTTAACTCTATTTTTTTTGTTTATAAATAATAATATCGTCAAAGTCTATGTTAAGGAATAATTTGATGTTTAATCTGTTTATAATAAATAAAGAAATTGCCAACTTCCAACCATTAATTTTGTATTAGATAAAGTTGCCACTGAACTTTGTCACTAACTTGCCAGTTTGGAACTCCCCGTGGGATCATCGACCCATCCCCGCCCACCAATCCAATGGTAATTTGATACCTTGTGGTAGCATTTTAGCTAAAGTTTCAACTTTCTGGGGCCATTAATCAATTAATTAAGTATTTTATGAATATTTCACGGGGGAGTGAAGTCCTGGCATCATCACAATCGCTTGGCTTTTGGGAGTTATCTGGGGAAACGGGCATTTTCGAAAGGAGTTTACCGCATGAATATTTTAAGGAAGTATTCCAGACAACCGGGAAAAGAGTTTAGCCGGCATAATCGAGGGCCCGTTGACGAGATAATAAGTTGGGGCCGGCAGAAAGGGATAATGAGTTTGAGTTGATGAACAGCCAACTTTCCGAGGAATAAGCAATAAGAATATGCGAAGGAGGGCTGCGAGAAAAAAAAACTTTCCGACTAATTAATTAAATGCGCTATAAAAATGTTTGCTGTTGTTGGTCTGGCAAAAGTTGAAGCTTGAAAAATGGGAGGCAAGAATTTTCCAGCCGAAAGAAATGGCAGAGAAGAGTGCTTGGCAAATGTTTGAGTTATGCGAAAATGTTTTCTCAAAAAATTATGCAGGTGGGCATCGGTGGGTTGTTTGAGTTTCCCCTGTATTGACATTTTTTTTTTGTTTTATCACGATAAGAAAAAGTTTTTAATGAGTTTGCCAAATGCCGCGCAATGCTTTTGAAATTCGCGAGATGATTAGTTGGCAGTAGAAAGTTTTTTCCACGATTAATTTATCAGAATTTTATTTTCTTTTAAGATTCTAAGGCATTTTAATGATCAGTTTCAGAATTTAATTTTCAGTATGTTTAAATACCACATAGTTTAAGCTTATGCAGCGGTAAATACATATACATTTGTTATGTAATTGAAATTTTATTAAGTTTAAGAAGGAAAAAAAAACTAATAAGTTTTTTAATTTAATTTGTTCCGTTATCCATCTAGAAACCATAACGAAATTTTAAGTAATACAAATGAATATCCATTAGGATTCTTTTTCAGTAATGCGATTTAAGTTCAAGTAGCCGATTTTTTGTGCACATCCTTGAACCGTTTCAGCTGTCTAGAACAGGTCCCATACCTCAGCTTCCTGCTTACAATCGCTCATTTGTCAACATCATTCACAATAGCTGTCAATGGCAAGGAGCTCTGGGGGGATTCCCTGCGATATTCAATGCACTCCGCTACCAATTGCATATATACATAAAGCCACCCCCGAGGCGCACACAAGCTCATATTTACCTGCCCCACACATTAATGGTCGATTTCATTCCTATTTGATTGTAAAGGACTGTGTATGTCTGGGCCAGAGAAGAGTGGACCGGACCTCTAGCAAATTACCGCAGCCTCCTGTGGAGCACACTAAATGCGCGTTCTTTGGGCCCAATCGGTTTACAGGGGCACCGGATCCCCCCTCTCCCCCCTCCCCCCTCGCAACACCCCTCGCAGGACCTCATGCGGGTTTTGTCAAATTAGCGCATCGTTTGTTGTGTGTTTCTTTGGGGTCCTCGGCAGAACGTACACATGCCAGTAGTAAGCACCCGAGAAAAACTTGTTAATTTTAAGTCGAATGCCTGGCTGGTCATTTCCTGGACATTCGCCACTTGGCTTGAAGTGGTTCGCAGTGGGGTTCACAAATTCATTTTGAAGACGGGTATGCAAATAAAAAAACATCACTTAAAAAAACGTATATATATGTCTGCAAGTATGAACACAGTTGGATTTGTACTTATAATTTTACGAGCATAATTTTTGAAACAGTCGGAACAACGAGAACGATGTAAAAATTATAATAAACCTTGTGCTAACATAAATAAATATAAGAGTATATACATTATTAGGGAATGATAAGTTTTGATATGATTTACTATTCCTTTAAATAAATTTTTAAATTCTGAGTATAAAATATTCTTGCATTTTATAATTATGAATTATTATTTAATATATATTTATTTTGTAAACATAATTTTTAATTAATTTTAAAATTTCTGACACATTTGTATTTGTATTTGTATTTATTATAAAATTTCATACTAACGCTACAAGTTTGGAACTTATAAGTTAATGCGCTAGTCACTACGATGTGTGCTTATGTGCTTAACTCTCTGCTATTAAATGTATTAAAAGTAAAACCAAGGCTAACTAAAATGTCAAAAGTTCTGTACTTTATGTTTTTGAACAAGGGAAACGTTTGAACTATTTTTTAGGCACCATTCACAACAATAGACATAAAACTTTAATAAACAGGCCCTGTTGGAATTGTAAAAATGCCTCCAATGCACAGTTTCCAATCCGATTTCCACCAAACCAATCCACATCTAACACTGAGCCAACATCGTTGGCATCCAGTGGGTATCGTTATTTGATGGCCTCGAACATCGAGCCGTTACAATTCATCAAACAAGCGAATGGATATTACTTCATCGAGTGCTATATTAAATACTTGAACCGAGCGAACAACGAAATTGTCAACGAACAGCAATCGAAGCGACCTCAAAAGGGGGTATGGTCATGGCCATGGGTGGTGGGCGGTGGGCGGTAGGTAAAAGTGACTGTTGTGAGCTTGAAACAAAAGTAAATTGCAATAAAAGTTTTGTAATTGACAAACGGACAACAAACAAAACTCCACTTCAGTTGTCGGTTGTCGTTGTGTGCTGGACAGTAGCTGGGCCCACGGATGGGATGTGGTTAGATGGGTGGGAAATGGTGGGTCCAGTGCGATCGGGGATGTAAACGGGGCCGGCAGTGGGTGGTAGTGGGTTAACTGAAGTCCTCGCTGTCGGGGGCTAAACAACTGGCGTTGGCATCAACAAAAACCGATTTTCCAAAAAGCAGGAAGCGGCAACAGCAGCGACAAAGTTGGGAAAATCAGAGGCCCAGTTTGGTTAACGTTATCTTTACACATGAACAAAATATCACCAAAAGGGCGAGAATAATAAAATAAAAGCATAATATTACAATATAATTTTTATACTGTAAAATTACATTTTTTACAAAAACCCATTTTTAAAACGTGTCTATACTAATGATTTTAGTTTGATACTTCTTATTTTCAAATGAGACAAAGCACTAGACAGTAGATATGGGAATTGATTTAAAAAGCATTCATCGTTTGTTAAAAAAAAAATAAAAAAGAATTTCCGAACGATTCACTAAAAAAAAATTATATATATAGAATACATATAAAGTAGAGTAAAGGAAGTTGGAGTTGTGTATTTCACGGGGAGTACAAAAATTTTACAAAGTCTAAATAAACTGACTAATATTTTGGACCCATTTTCTATTTAGCATGGCTTATAAACCCACAATAAGTCCATGACTTTCTCTCTGTTTAGCCACCACCCTCTTGACATGCCTGTCTCATCATTTCGTACATTTGCGCCCGCATATTGACTTTGAGCGAGGCGCACAAGCGATTCACAGATTTAAGAAATAAAAGTTTAGTGCTCCGGCGAGCAAATCTGCAGCCGCCAATGCCAAAACAGCCAAGCCACCCAGACTAAAACACACACACAAAACATCGAGGGCGCTCTCTGTCAAAGCAAACAAAAGACGCGACTGTGGTCGCTGCTACCCCTACCGCCTGCTGCAGAACCCACTGAATCACCCACTGAATCACCCACTGAACCACCCACAAAAACCCCCCACTGAACTACCCTCTGAACCACCCACTTTGCCGTTGGCTGTCGAACACAAAATGTCATCGAAGGTTTTGGGGACTGTGACTTGTTGGATCTGGATCTGAATCGGAATCGAAATCGGAATAGGGATCGGGTTGGATTTGGGTGCAGGAAATTGCCGGGCTGCAGGGATCATTGGGCACGAGTAAATAGAATCACATGACAGAGAAACAGCATAGAAAAATAAATATTTTAATACCAAAACTAAGCAAGTTTAATGAGATCCCCAAAAAGATAAATAATTTAAATTAATATTCTGAAAAGTGCGTTGTGGCTTGATAAAATATATTTGGAGCTATACAGAAAACCATGGGCCGATTGGTCTATTTTCTTGCAAGAGTCACGACTTCACCTTTATTCTTAAGGCACTAAAAGTGGTAAAGGAAAATCAAAATATATTTACATTAAAATGGCTTAGATGCCATGATAACAAGCTTTCATAAATTTTTGCATTTAAACTTTAATCTAAATTAATTTAAATTAAATATTTATATAAATTAATTTGTTATACTGTAAAAACAATAACCAGAATTTTAGGAAAGAATAAAGAATTTCCAGCTAATGTTTCAATGAGATAACCTATTTATTCATTTAACATCAACTTCATTCTTCTGCGCTGAAAAAAGGAAAACTATTATGAAAATGCAATTTAAAACAATTTGTCAAAGACACTGGAAATCCGAAGACCGGGTAGGGAAGTCCCGGAGAAAAAAAGAGAGAGGAAACCGAAAATGTGAAAATGAAAATAATAATGAAAGAATGAATTATGAACTTATACGAGCCAGACCCGAAGGACCTTGCCAACTGAAACTCGCACTACCACCCACACCCGCCCCCATTTTGTGGGACGTGAGTGGAAAGCGAAAATGGTTTGGCACAAAAATGATTGTGTATGTTAAGTTTGGCACGCGCCACGCCTACAATAAACCGCAAAAGTCAAAGGAGAAGCCGGGTGAGGGGTATAAAGATGGAGAGAGATAGAGTGCCCACAAAGTATGCAACATATTTCACAGTTCGAGGCAGATGGCGATGGAAAAAGGACAAAACAGACCCCAGGGAAAGTGCCACTGTCGTCACACGCCCACACTCAAAAGCGTGACTGTTACTTGCAGAATCCCAGAACACCCAACGCCCCCTTAACGCCCCCTGGCACACCCTTTAACCCCTCCATTCCCGCCCTTAAATCGCCCCTGCCATTCGCTGAAGAATTTTTGAATTACGAGCGCTCTGGGCGTAAGTTATACTTAACTATATGCCGCAAAAGTTGCTACGCTCTGTGTCATGTTTATTGCGATTTCATGTGCCATTACATCCAGCAGAGCGAAAGAGACGGTACTAAGACCAGGAAAAGAGACAGCGGTAGCCACCAAAACTGCCTGCTAATCTGTTGATAAATAAACATAGTGCACAACTTGATGGCTTCATATCAACAGAAGTTACACACAAAAAAATCGGATCAATTTATATTCGACCCACACTCATCTAAATAAAATTTTTCTGAAATCTAAAAGTATGCATAATTGTGAAATGTTAATTATGATATTGAGTTACTTGTTTTGAGGCAATATTTTGTTTTATAACAATTGTTCCTTATTTTTAACTGTAAGTCACAACACGTACACTTTCACTCAATTTTTAATTATCATTAAATTTGTTTGATTTTTGGACACAGTGTTTAAAAATTAATATAGACTCATCAAATTATTTGAGACTTGGCTCAGAGAGTGTAAAAACCCGCTTCATATTTTGATTTTATATACAATTCAGTTGGCATCAGAACTTATCATGAATATTAAAATGTCAAATAACTAATCATAATGAGGGCGGTGTGTAGGCATGCATAAAAAATGTAATTTAAAAAATAAATCTCTACCATGGATGCAAAATATTGTTTTCTGTGTAATGCAGCTGCCGTTGACAAATGTAAAAGCATTTTTACCTGTGCCACGGCCACATTTTTTCACACCCCTCTGAATTTTTACATGCACCTCACGTCGCTTTCGCACGCAAATGTGACCAGAGTCATGAGAGCTGCCATTGTTGTTTTTGTCATTCATCACGGAGAGCGAGAAGGGGCGACATGTAAATAAATAATTGTCACTTTGACACGTTTGATGCGTGCCAATTTCCCTATTTTTCCCCTCGTTCATCACTTTTAATTTATTCGCCTATTTCCAAGCTTTTATTCGATGTTCCATTTATTCATTGCAAATATCTAGCTTCCTGATGCACACTAAACATCAACATGTTTGCCATTTCAGATTCAGTTGCTTTTAGCAGAGTGTTTTGATTTCTATTCTTTCCAAAAGATGATTGATATTGTTATTTTTAGTTCGGATTCTCCAAACTAAATGTTTTTATTTATACTCGAAATTTATATTCATTAAAATTTATTTATTACTTAATAAATAAATAAAATTCTTGACTCTATTAAATTTGTATATTTAAGTAAAAATATTTGTTATAGAACAATTATTTTAAACAAATTTTATATTTATTGATTTCTTTTTAGAACTGTATCTATGTTTCTTGCTCTCTTAAAAGTAAAGTAGAACAGATTTACCAAATCTAATTGGGTTTCCTCGCGTTTTTAAAACGACATATTAGCAATGCAACAAAAATAATAAATGTAGCATATTCAATCAGTTTCTAAGCAGACTTGCATCAAAAAAGGATGTCGATTAGATGGATCGTAGCTGTAAGCCTCATTTGGCAACATGTGGATGCTCGTTATATGCCGAAATTTCTTTGCGTGCCCCCATACGTTGCCATCAATGGTAGTTGCCTTATTATTAATATAAGTGAACTCCCAACTGAAGTAATTATCAAAACACTTGTTTTAAAACAAAGGGTATAATATGTGTACTTACCCTATTTCAGGTTGCTTCTAAGGGGTCGAACGGGGCCAAGTCCAATCCTAATGTATCAGTTCCTGAGATAGGCTTAGGAAAAGATACTATTCCGGAAAACTCTTTATTAGGAAATCCGTCTATACCAAAAAAAGTTGGAAGTGAAACTCCTGGAAATGAATCAAGTACAACCAACATTTTAACACAGGTAATTTTTTTTTTTGCTTGTTCTTTGAACTTTTATACTTTTATTTTTCAATAGCCTGCTGGTTCCGTTAATCCCACAATTTCCAAACCGAAAGTACCCAACAAAATTCCAAGTAATCCAGAAACTTTAACACCAGTAAGAAAATTTAGTTTTAAAATTTCTTTCAAGTTTATATCTATTAATATTTAAATAGAGCGGTTCTGGACATACAACCATAAGACCTAAAATTCCGGGAGCATGCAAAGTTGGAAGCGAAACTCTTGGAAATGGAGCAGCGGTAAGAAAATTCCGTTATCGCATAATATCAGTATTTAAGTTCTTTAATTCGGTATTAGACTGCTGGTGCAGTTATACCCATAATTACCAAACCTGAATCATCTAATCAAATTCCAGTTAATCCAGAAACTTTATTACCTGTAAGAATATTATGTTTTAAACATCGCTTTCTATTTAATGTCCAATAATATTAATAGCCTGTTTCTGGAAATGCAACCAAAAATATTACAATTCCTGAAGCAGGATCAGGCAACACTCCTGAAAATTTTCCAAGCACAAACAAGGTAAGGAAATTCAATTTAAATTATGCTTATTCTTACCTAAAATCTCCAATAGCCTGCTGGTGGAATTAATCCCAACATTACTAATTCTGGAGCATCCAAGCAAATTAATTCGAAGCCAGAAACTTCAATACACGTAAGAAACATAGGTTTAAACGATAACTTTCTAGTTTATGTTCTAAAATATTTTTTAGCCGGTTTCTGGAAATGCACCCAAGAGCCCAGCAATTCCAGGAGCAGGATCTGTTGGAACCAAAACTCCTGGGAATGCACCAAGTTCAAACAACATTTTAACACAGGTGAGGAAAGTAGTTTTTTTGATTGTTCTTAGATCTTGTGTTCTCTAATTCAATAGCCTGATGGTTCAGTATATCCCACCATTACCAAACCTGAAGCATCCAACCAAATTTCAAGCAAATTTTAACTACATAGAAAAATGAAAATTAGTCCAACAAGTTGTTCGCCAGTAAATCAAAAAAAATGTTTTGATATTCTTTTTATACCCTTGCAGAGGGTATTATAATTTCAGTCAGAAGTTTGCAACGCAGTGAAGGAGACATCTCCGACCCTATAAAGTATATATATTCTTGATCAGCATCACTAGGCGAGTCGATCTAGCCATGTCCGTCTGTCCGTCTGTCCGTCCGTTTATATGCAAACTAGTCTCTCAGTTTTAAAGCTATCTGCATGAAACTTTCCCAAAAGTTGTCTTTCTATTGCAGGTAGTATATAAGTCGGAACGAGCCGGATCGGACGACTATAGCATATAGCTCCCATAGGAACAATCGGAAAAATAAATGAAAAAAATTATAACTTTGCTGTTTTTTAATTTTTTGTTTAGTTCTTCGACATTTAGTAATGGTTAAATATTTCCGATTTACGATTTAAATTTCATCAAAATCGGACGACTATAGCATATAGCTCCCATAGGAACAATCGGAAAAATAAATGAAAAAAATTATAACTTTTCTGTTTTTTAATTTTTTGTTTAGTTCTTCGACATTTAGTAATGGTTAAATATTTTCGATTTACGGTTTAAATTTCATCAAAGTCGGACGACTATATCATATAGCTCCCATAGGAACAATCGGAGAAATAATGGAAAAAAAATTATAACTTTTCTGTTTTTAAATTTTTTGTTTAGTTCTTCGACATTTAGTAACGGTTAAATATTTCCAATTTACGGTTTAAGTTTCATCAAAGTCGGACGACTATATCATATAGCTCCCATAGGAACAATAAAAATATATAAAATAACTATCAAATAATTGAACTGAAAATCATCATAGCTTCAATGTTTTTAAACATATACGCAAGTAAATTATAATTTTAATGTTTTCAAAAATGTTTAATTCTTGCAATAGCTGCAAGGGTATATGAACTTCGGCTTGCCGAAGTTTACTTTCTTTCTTGTTTAATTGAACATTTTAAAATAGTTTGTATTTGTCCTATAAAACTTAAGATAGAAAAAAAGATAGGTGGTTTCTTACCTTTTATTTTCCATACCGTTACCCCAAAAGTCTTATTCCCACAAACCGTATCCTTAAAGCCAATTTTATCGATTCTTAGTTTAATATCATTCCTTTTTAAATTTTCAGCAGGACTTACTTTCAACAACAAACGCTCCTGTGGTATGTATTATTAACAAAGTTGATGAGCAATCCTGTGTCTCAGGTAAACTGTCAGAAACAAAAATTAATGGTATTTCACCATCCGGAGATTCAATTGGTCAGCCAAATCCAACCCGAATTCCTTTACTCAAGGTAAGTATAAATCAATTTATTAAGAACTGCATTATCAAAATATTCATTTTTCTTTAATAGGATTTAATTTTAACAACAGTTCCAACAAACAAAAATGAAACCAAACACATTACAATTCCTGAAGCAGGATCAGTCAAAACTCCTGAAAATTCACTAAGTACAAACAATGTAAGGAAATTCTAATTTAGACTACTCTCAAATTTTATGCATATACTTTAAATCTCGTATAGTCTACTGGTGGAGTTAATCCCAACATTACTTATTCCGAAGTACCCAACAAAATTAATATTAATCCAGAAACTTCAATACCAGTAAGAAACATAGGTTTAAAGGATAACTTTCTAGTATATGTTCTAAAATGTTTTTTAGCCGGTTTCTGGAAATGCACCCAAGAGCCCAGCAATTCCAGGAGCAGGATCTGTTGGAACCAAAACTCCTGGGAATGCACCAAGTTCAAACAACATTTTAACACAGGTGAGGAAAGTAGTTTTTTTGATTGTTCTTAGATCTTGTGTTCTCTAATTCAATAGCCTGATGGTTCAGTATATCCCACCATTACCAAACCTGAAGCATCCAACCAAATTTCAAGCAATCCAGAAACTTTAATACCAGTAAGAAAATGTAGTTTTAGAAATCTCTATCCAGTTTATGTCCTTATTGTTGAAATAGAACGGTTCTGGACATACAATCAGAAGACCTAAAATTCCAGGAGCAGAAAGTGTTGGGAGCGAAACTTCTGGAAATGCAGTAGCGGTAAGAAAATTCCTTTATCGCATTTTATCAAGTCTTATGTTCTTTAATTTTGTATTAGACTGCTGGTACAGTTAAACCCACTATTACCAAACCTGAATCATCTAACCAAATTCCAAATAATCCAGAAACATTTATACCAGTAAGAATATTACGTTCTAAACATCGCTTTCTAGTTAATGTCCAAAAATGTTTGTACAGCCTGTTTCTCGAGTAGATTGGAGTTCTGTTGGCGTAGTAAATTCCAACATTACCAATTTTGAAGCACCCAACCAAATAAAAATGAATCCAGAAACTTCAATACCAGTAAGAAAAATAGATTTTAAGTATATCGTTCTAGTTAATGCTCTAAAATATTGTTTAGACGGTTTCTAAAAGTGAAATCAAAAGCTCAGCAATTCCAGGAGCAGGATCAGTCGGGAGCGAAGCACCTGGAAATTCACCAAGTTCAAACCACATTTTAACACCGGTAAAGAAAGTCTTTATTTCCTGTTCTTAGATCTTATGTACTTTTAATTTTCAAAAGCCTGCTGGTTTAGTTAATCCCACCCTTACCAAACCGAAAGTACCCAACCAAATTCCAAGTAATCCAGAAACTTTCATACCAGTAAGAAAATTTAGTTTTAACAAGAAAGGAAGTAAACCTCGGCAATCCGAAGTTCATACACCCTTGCAGCTATTGCAAAAATTAAATATTCTTGAAAACATTAAAATTATGATTTACTTGCGTATATGTTTAAAAAAAGTTATTCCTAGTTCCTATGGTAGCTACAAGATATAGTTTTCCGTTTTAAATCAAATTAAAAGCGTAATTCTGAATTCTAAAAATATACAAAATAAAAAAGTTACATTAAAAATTTTTTTTTTAATTTTTATTGTTTTCATTGGAGCTTTATGTTATAGTCGTCCGATTTTGATGAAATTTAAACCGTAATTCTTAAATTTTGAAAAAAACAAGAAAGAAAGCAAACTTCGGCAAGCCGAAGTTCATATACCCTTGCAGCTATTGCAAGAATTAACATTTTTGAAAACATTAAAATTATAATTTACTTGCGTATATGTTTAAAAACATTGAAGCTATGATGATTTTCAGCTCAATTATTTGATAGTTATTTTATATATTTTTATTGTTCCTATGGGAGCTATATGATATAGTCGTCCGACTTTGATGAAACTTAAACCGTAAATTGGAAATATTTAACCGTTACTAAATGTCGAAGAACTAAACAAAAAATTTAAAAACAGAAAAGTTATAATTTTTTTTCATTTATTTCTCCGATTGTTCCTATGGGAGCTATATGATATAGTCGTCCGACTTTGATGAAATTTAAACCGTAAATCGAAAATATTTAACCATTACTAAATGTCGAAGAACTAAACAAAAAATTAAAAAACAGAAAAGTTATAATTTTTTTCATTTATTTTTCCGATTGTTCCTATGGGAGCTATATGCTATAGTCGTCCAATTTTGATGAAATTTAAATCGTAAATCGGAAATATTTAACCATTACTAAATGTCGAAGAACTAAACAAAAAATTAAAAAACAGCAAAGTTATAATTTTTTTTCATTTATTTTTCCGATTGTTCCTATGGGAGCTATATGCTATAGTCGTCCGATCCGGCTCGTTCCGACTTATATACTACCTGCAATAGAAAGACAACTTTTGGGAAGGTTTCATGCAGATAGCTTTAAAACTGAGAGACTAGTTTGCATATAAGTCTGTCCGTCTGTCCGTCCGTTTAGTCCAGACTGGCTTAAGCGTTGAATTGTAGAGCAGAACCTTGAAGTCCAGGCAGAGGGGGGAGCGAGCGTGAAGTTAATCCCAACATTTCTAATTCTGAAGCACCCAACCAAATTAATATGAAGCCAGAAACTTCAATACCAGTAAAAAATAAGTTTGATGCATATCTTCCTAGTTTATGTTCTAAAATATTTTGTAGGCGGTTTCTGGAAATGCAACCAAAAACCCAGCAATTCCAGGAGCAGAATCTGTTGGAACCAAAACTCCTGGGAATGCACCAAGTTCAAACAACATTTTAACACAGGTGAGGAAAGCAGTTTTTTTTTATTGTTCTTAGAACACAAGGTTCTTTAATTCAATAGCCTGCTGGTTCAGTTAATCCCACCATTACCAAACCTGAAGCATCCAACCAAATTTCAAGTAATCCAGAAACTTTAATACCAGTAAGAAAATTTAGTTTTAGAAATCTTTATCTAGTTTATGTCCTTTAATATTTAAATAGAAAGCTTCTGGAAATAAAACAACAGTGAATGAAATTCCTGGAGATGTAAAGGTTGGAAGTGCAACAAGCACAACCAACATTTTAATACCGGTAAGAAAATGCATTTTAAATAATATCAAATCTTATGTTCTATAATTTTGTTTAAGCCTGCTGGTGCTGTTAAGCCCATTATTACCAAACCGGAAGCACCTAACCAAATTCTAAATAATCCAGAAACATTAATACCAGTAAGAATATTACATTCTAAACATCGCTTTCTAGTTAATGTCCAATAATATTAACAGCCTGTTACTGGAAGTGCAACCAAACACCTTTCTATTCTTGAAGCTGGAACAGTTGGAATCAAAACTCATGAAAAATCACCAAATACAAACAACATTTTAACACTGGTAAGGAAATTCAAATTTTTATATTCCTATGACTTTAGTATACACTTTTGTGCCCCAATAGCCTGCTGACGGAGTTACTAAACCGGAAGCAACCACTCAAATTCCAATTAAAATCTCAATACCAGTAAGAAAATAAGGTTTCAAACATATTTTTCTTACTTAAGTCTCAAAATACATATGTAGCCTGTTCCTGGAAATGCAACCAAAAACATTACAATTGCAGGAGCAGTATCAGTCGGAAGCGAAATTCCTGGAAATACACCCAGTACAAAGAACATTTTACCGTCGGTGAGGAAATAAACTTATTTGACTTATATTAAAATGCTGGGATCCTTAAATATTGCAACATGATTTCGGTATTATACCAGAACTACATAGAAAAATTAAAATTAGTTCAACAAATTGTACACCAGAAAGGAAAAAAAAGTTTAATATTCTTTTTTAATTTAAAATTTTAAAATATTTTGTCCTATAAAACTAATGATAGAGAAATAATCGGTGGTATTTGACCTTCTATTTTCTATACCGTTGTCTAAAAGGTCTTATTCCCACAAACAGTATCCCCAAAGCCAATTATATCGATTCTTAGGTTAATATTATTCTATTTAAATTTCACCAGGATTTACTTTTAACAACAATCGCTCCGCTATGTATTAATAACAAAGTTGATGAGCAATCCTGTGTCTCAGGTAAACTGTCAGAAACAAAAATTAATGGTATTTCACCATTCGGAGACTCGATTGGTCAGCCAAATCCAACCCGAATTCCTTTACTCAAGGTAAGTATAAATCAATTTATTAAGAACTGCATTATCAAAATATTCATTTTTCTTTAATAGGATTTAATTTTAACAACAGTTCCAACAAACAAAAATGAAACCAAACTCATTACAATTCCTGAAGCAGAATCAGTCAAAACTCCTGAAAATTCACTAAGTACAATCAATGTAAGGAAATTCTAATTTAGACTACTCTCAAATTTTATGCATATACTTTAAATCTCGTATAGTCTACTGGTGGAGTTAATCCCAACATTACTTATTCCGAAGTACCCAACAAAATTAATATTAATCCAGAAACTTCAATACCAGTAAGAAACATAGGTTTAAAGGATAACTTTCTAGTATATGTTCTAAAATGTTTTTTAGCCGGTTTCTGGAAATGCACCCAAGAGCCCAGCAATTCCAGGAGCAGGATCTGTTGGAACCAAAACTCCTGGGAATGCACCAAGTTCAAACAACATTTTAACACAGGTGAGGAAAGTAGTTTTTTTGATTGTTCTTAGATCTTGTGTTCTCTAATTCAATAGCCTGCTGGTTCAGTTAATCCCACCATTACCAAACCTGAAGCATCCAACCAAATTTCAAGCAATCCAGAATCTTTAATACCAGTAAGAAAATGTGGTTTTAGAAATCTTTCTCTAGTTGATGTCCTTTAATATTTAAATAGAAAGCTTCTGGAAATAAAACAATAGTGAATGGAGATGTAAACGTTGGAAGTGCAACAACCAAAATCAACATTTTAATTCCGGTAAGAAAATGAATTTTAAATAATATCAAATCTTATGTTCTATAATTTTGTTTAAGCCTGCTGGTGCAGTTAAGACCATCATTACCAAACCGGAAGCACCTAACCAAATTCCAAATAATCCAGAAACATTACTACCAGTAAGAATATTACATTCTAAACTTCGCTTTCTAGTTAATGTCCAATAATATTAACAGCCTGTTACTGGAAATGCAACCAAACACCTTACTAACCTTAAAGCTGGAACAGTTGGAATCAAAACTCCTGAAAAATCTCCAAATACAAACAACATTTTAACACTGGTAAGGAAATTCATATTTTGAATTTTCTTATGAATTATGTATACACTTTTATGCTCCAATAGCCTGCTGGCGGAGTTACTAAGCCGGAAGCAACAACTCAAATACCAATTAATTCAAAAATCTCAATACAAGTAAGAAATCAAGGTTTTAAACATATATTTTTAACTTAACTAAAAATACATTTGTAGCCTGTTCCTGGAAAAGCAACCAAAAACATTTCAATTGCAGGAGCAGTATCATTCGGAAGCGAAATTCCTGGAAATACACCCAGTACAAAGAACATTTTACCGTCGGTGAGGAAATAAACTTATTTGACTTATATTAAAATTCTGGGATCCTTAAATATTGCAACATGCTTTCGGTATTAAGCCAAAACTACATAGAAAAATTAAAATTAGTCCAACAAATTGTACACCAGAAAGGAAAACAAAAGTTTTATATTCTTTTTATACCCTTGCAGAGCGTATTATAATATCAGTCAGAAGTTTGCAACGCAGTGAAGGAGACGTTTCCGACTCTATAAAGTATATATATTCCTGATCAGTAACACTAGGAGAGTCGATCTAGCCATGTCCGTCTGTCCGTCCGTTTATATGCAAACTAGTCTCTCAGTTTTAAAGCTATCTGCATGAAACTTTCCCAAAAGTTGCCTTTCTATTGCAGGTAGTATATAAGTCGGAACTAGCCGGATCCGACGACTATTGCATATAGCTTCCATAGGAACAATCGGAAAAATAAAGAAAAAAAATTATAACTTTGCTGTTTTTTAATTCTATTTTTAGTTTTTCGACATATAGTAATTGTTAAGTCTCTCAGAGTTCAGAGTTACGTTTTAAATTTCATTAAAATCTGACGACTATAGCATATAGCTCACATAGGAACAATCGGAAAAATAAATTTAAAAAATTAGAACTTTGCTGTTTCTTAATTTATTTTGTAGTTCTTCGACATATAGTGAAGGTTAAATATTTCAGAATTACGGATTAAATTTCATCAAAACCGGACGACGATGAAAACACGAAAAAAATTTTAAAAAAATGTTTTAAATGTAACTTTTTTAATTTGTAATTTTTGTAGATATTCTTTTTTATTATTTAATGATTTGGCATATGAATTAAGCTTTTAATTTTAGTAAAATCGGAAAGCGATATCATATAGCTGCCATATAAACTCAATTGAGCTGCAAATCATCATAGCTTCAATGCTTTTAAACATACACGCAAGTAAATCATAATTTTAATGTCTTCAAGAATATTTAATAGCTGCAAGGGTATATGAACTTCGGCTTGCCGAAGTTTGCTTCCTTTCTTGTTTAATTTAAAATTTTAAAATATTTTGTATTTTACCAGTTCGTTTCGATAAGTCAGAACATTTGTCCTATAAAACTAATGATAGAGAAAGAATCGGTGGTATTTTACATTCTATTTTCTATACCGTTGTCCAAAAGCTCTTATTCCCACGATCCGTAACCTCAAAGCCAGTTTAAGCCTTAGTTTAATATTATCCCATTTAAATTTCACCAGGATTCACTTTTAACAACAATTGCTCCGGTATGTATTAATAACAAAGTTGATAAGCAATCCTGTGTCTCAGGTAATGGTATTTCACCATCCGGAGTCTGGATTGATCAGCCAAATCCAACGCGAGTTCCTTTACTTGAGGTAAGGATAACTATATTTATTGAGAACTTCGTTATTAAACTTTTAAATTTTCTGTAAATAGGATTTAATTTTACCAAAAGTTCCACCGGTGAGTATTGTAAATAATATTAATGAGCCTTTCATAGTGAAATTATATATTTTAGAAACCTGCCAATATCTCTATTCCAAAAGACTCTCAAAAGCCAATATCCGTTGAGTCTGGTAACCTTAAAGATTTTGATATCAACAGCCTTTATCCAAAAGAAATTGATATCAAGAAACCATCAGTTCCATCGGTAATAATTGTAATTAAACTTCATGTGCCGTTTATATTAAAATTCAATATTTCAGAAACCTGTCAAAAATATTCCCAAAATCTCTACTCCAAAAGGCTCTCAAAAGCCTATCTCCGTTGATCCTGATGATTTTGATATCAACAGCCTTTATCAAAAAGAAATTGATAACAACAGTCTTTATCCAAAAGATATTGATATCAAGAAACCAACAGTTCCATCGGTAAACATTGTAATTATACTTGATGTGCCTTTTATATTAATATTATGTATTTCAGAAACCTGCCAAAAATATTCCCAAAATCTCTACTCCAAAAGGCTCTCAAAAGCCTATCTCCGTTGATGCTGGTGATTTTGGTATCAACAGCCCTTATCCAAAAGAAATTGATATTAAGAAACCAACAGTTCCATCGGTAAGAATTGTAATTTAACTTTATGTGCTTTCTATATTAAAATTCTATATTTCAGAAACCTGCCAAAAATATTCCCAAAATCTCTAATCCAAAAGGCTCCCAAAAGCCTATCTCCGTTGATCCTGATGATAATCATCTTAAAGATTTTGATATCAACAGCCTTTATCCAAAAGAAATTGATATCAACAGTCTTTATCCAAAAGATATTGATATCAAGAAACCAAACCAAACCAAACCATCGGTAAACATTGTAATTATACTTGATGTGCCTTTTATATTAATATTATGTATTTCAGAAACCTGCCAAAAATATTCCCAAAATCTCTATTCCAAAAGACTCTCAAAAGCCTATCTCCGTTGATCCTGATGATTTTGATATCAACAGCCTTTATCCAAAGGAAATTGATATCAACAGTCTTTATCCAAAAGATATTGATATCAAGAAACCAACAGTTCCATCGGTAAATATTGTAACTAATCTTGATGTGCCTTTTATATTAATATTATGTATTTCAGAAACCTGCCAAAAATTATCCCAAAATCTCTATTCCAAAAGGCTCTCAAAAGCCTATCTCCGTTGATCCTGATGATTTTGATATCAACAGCCTTTATCCAAAGGAAATTGATATCAACAGTCTTTATCCAAAAGATATTGATATCAAGAAACCAACAGTTCCATCGGTAAATATTGTAACTAATCTTGATGTGCCTTTTATATTAATATTATGTATTTCAGAAACCTGCCAAAAATATTCCCAAAATCTCTACTCCAAAAGGCTCTCAAAAGCCTATCTCCGTTGATCCTGATGATTTTGATATCAACAGCCTTTATCCAAAGGAAATTGATATCAACAGTCTTTATCCAAAAGATATTGATATCAAGAAACCAACAGTTCCATCGGTAAATATTGTAACTAATCTTGATGTGCCTTTTATATTAATATTATGTATTTCAGAAACCTGCCAAAAATATTCCCAAAATCTCTATTCCAAAAGGCTCCCAAAAGCCTATCTCCGTTGATCCTGATGATTTTGATATCAACAGCCTTTATCCAAAGGAAATTGATATCAACAGTCTTTATCCAAAAGATATTGATATCAAGAAACCAACAGTTCCATCGGTAAATATTGTAACTAATCTTGATGTGCCTTTTATATTAATATTATGTATTTCAGAAACCTGCCAAAAATTATCCCAAAATCTCTATTCCAAAAGGCTCTCAAAAGCCTATCTCCGTTGATCCTGATGATTTTGATATCAACAGCCTTTATCCAAAGGAAATTGATATCAACAGTCTTTATCCAAAAGATATTGATATCAAGAAACCAACAGTTCCATCGGTAAATATTGTAACTAATCTTGATGTGCCTTTTATATTAATATTATGTATTTCAGAAACCTGCCAAAAATATTCCCAAAATCTCTACTCCAAAAGGCTCTCAAAAGCCTATCTCCGTTGATCCTGATGATTTTGATATCAACAGCCTTTATCCAAAGGAAATTGATATCAACAGTCTTTATCCAAAAGATATTGATATCAAGAAACCAACAGTTCCATCGGTAAACATTGTAATTATACTTGATGTGCCTTTTATATTAATATTATGTATTTCAGAAACCTGCCAAAAATATTCCCAAAATCTCTACTCCAAAAGGCTCTCAAAAGCCTATCTCCGTTGATGCTGGTGATTTTGGTATCAACAGCCCTTATCCAAAAGAAATTGATATTAAGAAACCAACAGTTCCATCGGTAAGAATTGTAATTTAACTTTATGTGCTTTCTATATTAAAATTCTATATTTCAGAAACCTGCCAAAAATATTCCCAAAATCTCTAATCCAAAAGGCTCCCAAAAGCCTATCTCCGTTGATCCTGATGATTTTGATATCAACAGCCTTTATCCAAAGGAAATTGATATCAACAGTTTTTATCCAAAAGATATTGATATCAAGAAACCAACAGTTCCATCGGTAAGTATTGTAATTAAACTTGATGTGCCTTTTATATTAATATTATGTATTTCAGAAACCTGCCAAAAATATTCCCAAAATCTCTACTCCAAAAGGCTCTCAAAAGCCTATCTCCGTTGATGCTGGTGATTTTGGTATCAACAGCCCTTATCCAAAAGAAATTGATATTAAGAAACCAACAGTTCCATCGGTAAGAATTGTAATTTAACTTTATGTGCTTTCTATATTAAAATTCTATATTTCAGAAACCTGCCAAAAATATTCCCAAAATCTCTAATCCAAAAGGCTCCCAAAAGCCTATCTCCGTTGATCCTGATGATTTTGATATCAACAGCCTTTATCCAAAGGAAATTGATATCAACAGTCTTTATCCAAAAGATATTGATATCAAGAAACCAACAGTTCCATCGGTAAACATTGTAATTATCCTTGATGTGCCTTTTATATTAATATTATGTATTTCAGAAACCTGCCAAAAATTATCCCAAAATCTCTATTCCAAAAGGCTCTCAAAAGCCTATCTCCGTTGATCCTGATGATTTTGATATCAACAGCCTTTATCCAAAGGAAATTGATATCAACAGTCTTTATCCAAAAGATATTGATATCAAGAAACCAACAGTTCCATCGGTAAATATTGTAACTAATCTTGATGTGCCTTTTATATTAATATTATGTATTTCAGAAACCTGCCAAAAATATTCCCAAAATCTCTATTCCAAAAGGCTCCCAAAAGCCTATCTCCGTTGATCCTGATGACAATCATCTTAAAGATTTTGATATCAACAGCCTTTATCCAAAAGAAATTGATATCAACAGTCTTTATCCAAAAGATATTGATATCAAGAAACCAACAGTTCCATCGGTAAACATTGTAATTATACTTGATGTGCCTTTTATATTAATATTATGTATTTCAGAAACCTGCCAAAAATATTCCCAAAATCTCTATTCCAAAAGGCTCCCAAAAGCCTATCTCCGTTGATCCTGATGACAATCATCTTAAAGATTTTGATATCAACAGTCTTTATCCAAAAGATATTGATATCAATAGTCTTTATCCAAAAGATATTGATATCAAGAAACCAACAGTTCCATCGGTAAATATTGTAACTAATCTTGATGTGCCTTTTATATTAATATTATGTATTTCAGAAACCTGCCAAAAATTATCCCAAAATCTCTATTCCAAAAGGCTCTCAAAAGCCTATATCCGTTGATCCTGATGATTTTGATATCAACAGCCTTTATCCAAAAGAAATTGATATCAATAGTCTTTATCCAAAAGATATTGATATCAAGAAACCAACAGTTCCATCGGTAAATATTGTAACTAATCTTGATGTGCCTTTTATATTAATATTATGTATTTCAGAAACCTGCCAAAAATTATCCCAAAATCTCTATTCCAAAAGGCTCTCAAAAGCCTATCTCCGTTGATCCTGATGATTTTGATATCAACAGCCTTTATCCAAAGGAAATTGATATCAACAGTCTTTATCCAAAAGATATTGATATCAAGAAACCAACAGTTCCATCGGTAAATATTGTAACTAATCTTGATGTGCCTTTTATATTAATATTATGTATTTCAGAAACCTGCCAAAAATATTCCCAAAATCTCTACTCCAAAAGGCTCTCAAAAGCCTATCTCCGTTGATCCTGATGATTTTGATATCAACAGCCTTTATCCAAAGGAAATTGATATCAACAGTCTTTATCCAAAAGATATTGATATCAAGAAACCAACAGTTCCATCGGTAAGTATTGTAATTAAACTTGATGTGCCTTTTATATTAATATTATGTATTTCAGAAACCTGCAAAAAATATTCCCAAAATCTCTACTCCAAAAGGCTCTCAAAAGCCTATCTCCGTTGATGCTGGTGATTTTGGTATCAACAGCCCTTATCCAAAAGAAATTGATATTAAGAAACCAACAGTTCCATCGGTAAGAATTGTAATTTAACTTTATGTGCTTTCTATATTAAAATTCTATATTTCAGAAACCTGCCAAAAATATTCCCAAAATCTCTAATCCAAAAGGCTCCCAAAAGCCTATCTCCGTTGATCCTGATGATTTTGATATCAACAGCCTTTATCCAAAGGAAATTGATATCAACAGTCTTTATCCAAAAGATATTGATATCAAGAAACCAACAGTTCCATCGGTAAACATTGTAATTATCCTTGATGTGCCTTTTATATTAATATTATGTATTTCAGAAACCTGCCAAAAATTATCCCAAAATCTCTATTCCAAAAGGCTCTCAAAAGCCTATCTCCGTTGATCCTGATGATTTTGATATCAACAGCCTTTATCCAAAGGAAATTGATATCAACAGTCTTTATCCAAAAGATATTGATATCAAGAAACCAACAGTTCCATCGGTAAATATTGTAACTAATCTTGATGTGCCTTTTATATTAATATTATGTATTTCAGAAACCTGCCAAAAATATTCCCAAAATCTCTACTCCAAAAGGCTCTCAAAAGCCTATCTCCGTTGATCCTGATGACAATCATCTTAAAGATTTTGATATCAACAGCCTTTATCCAAAAGAAATTGATATCAACAGTCTTTATCCAAAAGATATTGATATCAAGAAACCAACAGTTCCATCGGTAAACATTGTAATTATACTTGATGTGCCTTTTATATTAATATTATGTATTTCAGAAACCTGCCAAAAATATTCCCAAAATCTCTATTCCAAAAGGCTCCCAAAAGCCTATCTCCGTTGATCCTGATGACAATCATCTTAAAGATTTTGATATCAACAGTCTTTATCCAAAAGATATTGATATCAATAGTCTTTATCCAAAAGATATTGATATCAAGAAACCAACAGTTCCATCGGTAAATATTGTAACTAATCTTGATGTGCCTTTTATATTAATATTATGTATTTCAGAAACCTGCCAAAAATTATCCCAAAATCTCTATTCCAAAAGGCTCTCAAAAGCCTATATCCGTTGATCCTGATGATTTTGATATCAACAGCCTTTATCCAAAAGAAATTGATATCAATAGTCTTTATCCAAAAGATATTGATATCAAGAAACCAACAGTTCCATCGGTAAATATTGTAACTAATCTTGATGTGCCTTTTATATTAATATTATGTATTTCAGAAACCTGCCAAAAATTATCCCAAAATCTCTATTCCAAAAGGCTCTCAAAAGCCTATCTCCGTTCATCCTGATGATTTTGATATCAACAGCCTTTATCCAAAGGAAATTGATATCAACAGTCTTTATCCAAAAGATATTGATATCAAGAAACCAACAGTTCCATCGGTAAGTATTGTAATTAAACTTGATGTGCCTTTTATATTAATATTATGTATTTCAGAAACCTGCCAAAAATATTCCCAAAATCTCTACTCCAAAAGGCTCTCAAAAGCCTATCTCCGTTGATGCTGGTGATTTTGGTATCAACAGCCCTTATCCAAAAGAAATTGATATTAAGAAACCAACAGTTCCATCGGTAAGAATTGTAATTTAACTTTATGTGCTTTCTATATTAAAATTCTATATTTCAGAAACCTGCCAAAAATATTCCCAAAATCTCTAATCCAAAAGGCTCCCAAAAGCCTATCTCCGTTGATCCTGATGATTTTGATATCAACAGCCTTTATCCAAAGGAAATTGATATCAACAGTCTTTATCCAAAAGATATTGATATCAAGAAACCAACAGTTCCATCGGTAAATATTGTAACTAATCTTGATGTGCCTTTTATATTAATATTATGTATTTCAGAAACCTGCCAAAAATATTCCCAAAATCTCTACTCCAAAAGGCTCTCAAAAGCCTATCTCCGTTGATCCTGATGACAATCATCTTAAAGATTTTGATATCAACAGCCTTTATCCAAAAGAAATTGATATCAACAGTCTTTATCCAAAAGATATTGATATCAAGAAACCAACAGTTCCATCGGTAAACATTGTAATTATACTTGATGTGCCTTTTATATTAATATTATGTATTTCAGAAACCTGCCAAAAATTATCCCAAAATCTCTATTCCAAAAGGCTCTCAAAAGCCTATCTCCGTTGATCCTGATGATTTTGATATCAACAGCCTTTATCCAAAGGAAATTGATATCAACAGTCTTTATCCAAAAGATATTGATATCAAGAAACCAACAGTTCCATCGGTAAATATTGTAACTAATCTTGATGTGCCTTTTATATTAATATTATGTATTTCAGAAACCTGCCAAAAATATTCCCAAAATCTCTACTCCAAAAGGCTCTCAAAAGCCTATCTCCGTTGATCCTGATGACAATCATCTTAAAGATTTTGATATCAACAGCCTTTATCCAAAGAAATTGATATCAACAGTCTTTATCCAAAAGATATTGATATCAAGAAACCAACAGTTCCATCGGTAAACATTGTAATTATACTTGATGTGCCTTTTATATTAATATTATGTATTTCAGAAACCTGCCAAAAATATTCCCAAAATCTCTATTCCAAAAGGCTCCCAAAAGCCTATCTCCGTTGATCCTGATGACAATCATCTTAAAGATTTTGATATCAACAGTCTTTATCCAAAAGATATTGATATCAATAGTCTTTATCCAAAAGATATTGATATCAAGAAACCAACAGTTCCATCGGTAAATATTGTAACTAATCTTGATGTGCCTTTTATATTAATATTATGTATTTCAGAAACCTGCCAAAAATTATCCCAAAATCTCTATTCCAAAAGGCTCTCAAAAGCCTATATCCGTTGATCCTGATGATTTTGATATCAACAGCCTTTATCCAAAAGAAATTGATATCAATAGTCTTTATCCAAAAGATATTGATATCAAGAAACCAACAGTTCCATCGGTAAATATTGTAACTAATCTTGATGTGCCTTTTATATTAATATTATGTATTTCAGAAACCTGCCAAAAATTATCCCAAAATCTCTATTCCAAAAGGCTCTCAAAAGCCTATCTCCGTTGATCCTGATGATTTTGATATCAACAGCCTTTATCCAAAGGAAATTGATATCAACAGTCTTTATCCAAAAGATATTGATATCAAGAAACCAACAGTTCCATCGGTAAATATTGTAACTAATCTTGATGTGCCTTTTATATTAATATTATGTATTTCAGAAACCTGCCAAAAATATTCCCAAAATCTCTACTCCAAAAGGCTCTCAAAAGCCTATCTCCGTTGATCCTGATGATTTTGATATCAACAGCCTTTATCCAAAGGAAATTGATATCAACAGTCTTTATCCAAAAGATATTGACATCAAGAAACCAACAGTTCCATCGGTAAATATTGTAATTAAACTTGATGTGCCTTTTATATTAATATTATGTATTTCAGAAACCTGCCAAAAATATTCCCAAAATCTCTATTCCAAAAGGCTCTCAAAAGCCTATCTCCGTTGATCCTGATGACAATCATCTTA